AAAAAAAAAAAAAAAAAATTAGCCGGGCATGGTGGCGGGCACCTATTAATCCCAGCTGCTTGAGAGGCTGAGGCAGGAGAATCACTTGAGCCCAGGAAGCAGAGGTTGCGGTGAGCCAAGACCGCACCACTGCACTCCAGCCTGGCCAACAAGAGCAAAACTCCATCTCAAAGAAAAACAAGAAAAGAATGAAAGGAGGTACTGGGGTGGGGTGGGGGACAGTGGATGATGAGAAAGAATGAGAAGAAAGAAAATTATGAATACATTAGTGGGATTCTCAGGGGGATTAGCCTCAGGACGCAGGATCCCAAGTTTCAGTACTTGCATATGGGGCTCCAGGTGCGTGTCCTGGAAGCAGAACCCAGATGAGCCCACCACCTGCGGACAGGAGGAGGTGAAGATGGTGATCCCCACAGGCCCAGGCTTTCCCCCTGTCCTGCGCCCTCGCCTCCAGGCTTGGACCTCACATTGACCATCATGGAAGTCTTCATAAGGTGATGTCCGCTAATGCCTTGGTCATAGCAAAGCTTTTTATCCTTGAGTGTAATCTGGGGTTGAAGGAGGGGAGAGGCAGAAATGAAGGACTAAGCAGGTCTCCCCAAAGACCAACAAACAGTTCAAATAACCCACAGCTGGGGCGAGGTAGGGGGCTGGTAGCACGGAAGGCCTCCATTTCCTACTCAGGAACAGGCTAACAGAGCCAGGTGCATGGTGGCTCATGCCTCACACCTCATGAGGAGGTGTGAGGATCTCTTGAGCCCAGGAATTTGAGAACAGCCTGGGCAACATTGGGAGACACCCCATCTCTACAAAAAATAAAAAGTTAAGGCTGGGTGCAGTGGCTCATGTCTGTAATCCCAGCACTTTGGGAGGCAGAGGTGGGTAGATTGTTTGAAGTCAGGAGTTCAAGACCAGCCTGGCCAACATGATAAAACCCCATCTCTACTAAAAATACAAAAAAATTTAGCTGGCTGTGGTGGCGTGCACCTGTAATCCCAGCTACTAGGGAGGCTGAGGCAGGAGAATCGCTTGAACCTGGGAGGCAGAGGTTGCAATGAGCTGAGCCTGGGTGACAGAGCAAGATTCCGTCTCAAAAGAAAAAAAAATAGCTGGGCACTACGGCGCATGCCTACAGTCCCAGCTACTCAGGAGGCTGAGGGAGGAGGATCACTTGAGCCAAGGAGGCCGATAATGCAGTGATCACGCCACTGCACTTGAGCCTGAGCGACTGAGCAAGACCCTGTCTCAAAAAATAAAAATAAAAAACTTGCTTTGATCCCAACTTCCCACCAGGTCTCACCAAAAATAGCACCGAGTTGCGATTAATCAGGATCTCTTGCTTCACCAAGGCCTCGATGCAGCCAGGGTTGGCCAGCACCACACCCACGTCCACCCTGGTGTGCGGTTGGAAGGCGCTGCCTGCTCTAGGCAGTAAACGGGGTTAAGGACTCCCTCACAGACAGGCCCCGCCCCTTGGACAGTGTCCCTGCCCCCCAGACGCCCAGATTCTGGGCAGCCCCCACCCCGCCCTTTGGACGCCACTCTGGCCCCGCGCACAGACCGAGTTCTGCCTGCGCACTGAACGAGCGGCCTTGCGCCGACAGGAAGATGGTGAAGCTGTACTCAGTGCCCTTGTCTAGAAAAATGCGCTCCGGCAGCTGGTACTCGGGCTCGAGGTTATAGATCTTTTCGTAACTGTCCATGTCAATGTACACGCCGCCCGCGCTTTGCCAATTGCTCGCCAGGAAGAAGTAGTAATCCTGGGGTACAGGATGCGCGGGGCAGACTCAGCGCCGGAGGTGGGGGCACAGGGAGGGGTGACTGGGCGCCTCCCCTGGCCCGGCTCCCAAACAGCTCTGCCTACCTTGTCTTGTTTGTTGTTCTGCCACCAGCGCCAGGTGGGGTCGTGCACCGGGTCCGCGTACGGCTGCAGGGATCGCCCCGCACCGTGAAGGGAGGGGGGGCGGCGAGAGCCCCCAGGCCAGCGGCAGCCCCAGGCGCCCTCCTAGCCTCAGTGCCAGCCCCTAACCCAGAGCAGAAGATACACACCCCAGCCCGTCCCCAAACCCTGCTTTCAACCTGGCCACACCCCCAACACCCTCCCTTCGAAGCCCCGCTCAGGCCAGGCCCCGCCCGCAGACTCCCACGCAGGGTCCTCCGGCTCTCCAGTCCCACTGCGCTCCGCTCCACAGGCCTCGCCCTCTGAGCCGGCTCCGGGTCCCAGGCCTGCGCCGCCCGCCGCCGGATGCCCACCTTGTCGTATTTGGTGTGCAGCCAGAGCAGGTGGTAGACCAGGCCCTGGTAGATGGCGAGCGAGTTCTTGGTGTGGAAGCCCGAGCGCTCAAAGATGCTCGGCGGCCGCGCCCGGTAGCGCTCCTGGCGCGTGTATCTCTGTGGTCTGGGCAGGTTCCGCAGGCGCATCACCGAGAAGGGGCAGAGGTTGGTGAAGGAGAGCATCGAGTAGTTCCTGGGCAGCAGCAAGGGGGAGGCGGCCGGTTCTAAGCACTCCGCCCACGGGAAGCTTCCTCAGGCCTGTTTCCCATCTCTCCCACTTCCCGAATCGAATCCAGCCCCGATCTTCCTCCTCAGCGTCAGCTGGGGGCAGAAGCCTCTTGTTCCTCCTTCCACCCCAGCGCTGGGTCCCCGCCCCGACCCCAGCTGCCTCCCTGGGTCGCTCTGACCCACCCTCTGCTGGACGGCTACCGGAGGCATCATTATGGCATGTGGTAAAATCCGACCCTGCAGTCCTTTCCCTTAATTGCCATCCATAGCTCCCCCAGGACCCTCAAGATGAAGTTCAAGTTTCTCCCCATGACCACCAGGCTCACCTTGCCCCCCCCAGTCAGGGCCTCTGCACAGGTGGTTCCCCATTTCTGGAACACCCTTCCCCACCTTATCACCTAGCTAATCCCTTCCTCACCCTTCTTGTCGCAGCGCTTACACCTCCTCCTCCTTGAAGCCCTCCCTGATTTACCCTCCCCTCCGGCTAGGTCAGCCTCCTCCTCTGAGCTTCCATAAGTGCTGAGCTCCCACCATCACAGGCCCGAGGTTGTCACCAGGGTTGGCTTGGTCACCCCTCTCTCAACAATGGGAGCTTCAGGAGGGCAGTGCCGGGAGCCCTCAGACCCCCACCACCCTCTGGCGTCTTCTCACCCTTTCCTCTCCAAGTCATAGTAGTTGGTGTGCTGTTGATACATCAGAAGCTTCTCCACGGGCATGGGCCTCTTGACCAGCTTGCCCTCATGCTTGTGCATAAGGTACACCAGCTGCAGGGGGAAGGTAGGCCCAGGTGAACTGGTGTCAGCCCTCCTGGGGTGCCCCATGTCTCCCCCAAAGCCCCACCGGGCACCTGATACAGTTTGTTGTTTTCATAGAAAAGGGTCACCATGGTTTCATTAGATGCATAGAGAGAGGACTGCTGCATCCACTGTAAGCTGATGTGCACATCCCAGCCCCTGGACGGGAACAGCTGGTACACCCGGTAGGTGCCCTCCATGAGGTACCAGATCTGCAGGCATGACATCCAGATGTGCGTGTGAGGACCATGGATCCTCTGATCCCACCTCTCCCTCTGCCCAGTGTGGTGGCCCCATTGTTTGAAGGATGAGGTTTAGAAACCCACCTCCACTGGGACCAAGAGCGCCCCCCTTCCTTTTCTCTGGTGCCATTGGTCTACTTCCCAGAGCCCAGTCACCTCTGGTCCCAGCCCGCACACACCATGATCACTTTTTTCGTTCCTTTTTTTTCTTTTTCTTGAGACAAGAGTCTCACTCTGTCTCCCAGGCTGGAGTGCAGAGGCAAAATCTCAGCTCATGCAACCTCCACCTCCTGGGTTCAAGCAATTCTCCTACCTCAGCCTCCCAAGTAGCTGGGATCACAGGTGAGTGCCACCACGCCCAGCTAATTTTTTTTTTTTTTTGTATATTTAGTAGAGATGGTGTTTCACCATGTTGGCCAGACTAGTCTTGAACTCCTGACCTCAGGTGATCCACCAGCCTCGGCCTCACAAAGTGCTGGGATTACAGGCGTGAGTCACCATGCCCAGCTCATGACCCTTTTTTTCAATGCTTTTGGTCTGTTTGGGTTTCTGGCACTGGCACCCTGAGCATCCCTATCATGCACACTCCCTAACAGTTGCGGTTCCTTGGGCCGAGACCACTTTCTTCTCACTCTTTGCAGCCTTCAGGGTCTCACCATTTCCTTGGACTCAGTTTCCCATCTCTGCACTGATACCCACCCCCATACACATCTGAAGGGAACCTTCACTCCTCTTCCTGAGCCACAACCTGGGGGATCCTCTCCACCTCCAAGATGTCCCCCTCCATGTGGGTCCTCCAGGAAGCCCTCCCTGGCATGCACAACTCCCCAGAGTGGCCAGGTTCCCCTACTTCCATAGGTAGTATTTCCCTCATTATAGCCCTGATCGCTCTGTGTTCTCCAGCATGGGGGCAGGCACACAGTAAATGCTCAATATTTATGAAGCAAACAACCGCACTGTGGGATGAGAGAGCAGCCTATGAACATCAGATCATGGCTGTGGTCTGCGTGACTTTGGAGATGACACTTAGCCTCTCTGAGTTCCAGGGGTTTCAGCTATAAATGGAGCTTCACTGCCCTTTCTCAGGGTCCCCGAGGGTGCCCCCCCCCTTAGCTCCTTTACCTTGACAGGGGGAAAAGAGAGACCCCTGGGATTTGGGGGAGGGCAGAGAGGGTATGGGGGAGGGACAGGGCAGCCCACCTCCTCTGTCTCTGTGACTATAGCCATGTTCCCAAGGAACGATCTGGCTATATATTTGATGATCTGTTCCTTGGGGAAGTCTGCCAGGTAGATTAAGTTTTCCTTGTTAGAGCTGCAGGGGTAGAGACAGAGAGCTAGGCACATCCTGGACAGCCACTTCCCGCAACCGCAGGCCTAGTAACACGGGAGCCTCTTACTCAGTTTCTCCACTTTGAGGACATGCAAAGGAAATCCTAGCTCCTGACCCCCACCCCAAACCCTTTGAGAGTCTCCAGCTCCTCATCTGTAAAACAGGAGCATCGGGCCAAACTGGCAGTTTGCCAGCCACCCATGAAGGTGGCTCAGGAGCCCCTAGGTTCCTGAGGGGCAAGAAGGTGGCTGAGGCAAAGAGGATCCTGAACTGTCCCTGGAAAATGCTTGTCAAGGCTAGACGCAGTGGTTCATGCCTGTAATCCCAGCACTTTCAGAGGTTGAGGTGGGAGGATCACCTGAGGTCAGGAGCTCAAGACCAGCCTGGCCAACATTGTAAAACCCCGTCTACACTAAAAATACAAAAATTAGCTGGGTGAGGTGGCGCATACCTATAATCCCAGCTACTCAGGAGGCTGAGGCAGGAGAATCGCTTGAATCTGGGAGGTAAAGGCTATAGTGAGCCAAGATTGTGCCACTGCCCTGCAGCCTGGGTGACAGACTCCATGTCCCCCCAAAATCAAAAACAAAAAAAACCCTAGAAACTGTTCATCTATTACTCACACAGGCTGGGTCTTTAAGAAAAGGGCTCCCACAGCATTAGAATAGTGGCATCCCCCGGTTCCAGCGCTGATGACCCTACCCATGTGTTCCCCCACGGTCCTGATAACTTCTGGATCTGGGCATCCTCTGAAGGCTTGGTGAGACTTCAGAAAGGGTCCCCCCCCAAAGGTGCTGGGGAGACAGAGCATCCCTGGCCCGCCGGGGTGGTGGAGGCCCACCTCTGCAGAAGGAAGTTGCCCCAGATGAAGATCAAGTTGTTGTATGGGTTAAAGGAGATGCCCTTGGAGACCATCCGGGTGCTGGTGTAGGTCTCTGTCCCTAGGATCATCAGGAACTGCAACCCTCGAGCTGACCGGGGCAGAGGAAGAGAGGACACAAGCAGTGAGGTGGGGGTCACCTGGACCCCTCCTGGCCTATAGCCACCCTTAAGGCCACCTCTACCTTCCCCCCCTACCGTCAGGAACAAATTCTGGGACTTCGGAAACAATGGTCATTTCATCGGTAACTACAGATGGGGAGAACACAGCAAAATCTCCTGAGGCCCTGCACTTTGAAAACCTGGAGCTGGAGCAAGTCGTTCGCTTCTCAGCCTCCTGCAAAACCCTCCAAAGAGCTTCCCATCCAGGCTTGCCAGTGCTTCGAGTTTTTCTTTTCTTTTTCCCCCTGACACAGGCTCTCACTCTATTGCCCAGGCTGGAGTGCAGTGGTATGATCTCAGATCACTGCAACCTCTGCCTCCTAGGTTCAAGTGATCCTCCCACCTCAGCTTATGGAGTAGCTGGGATTTCAGGCACGTACTACCACCACACCCAGATAATTTTTGTTTTTCTGTTTTGTTTTGTTTGACATGGAGTCTTGCTCTGTCGCCCAGGCTGCAGTACAATGGCGCCATCTCAGCTCACTGCAACCTCCACCTCCCAGGTTCTCCCAGCGATTCTCCCGCCTCAGCCTCCCGAGTAGCTGGGATAACAGGCACCCGCCATCATGCCCGGCTAATTTTTGTGATTTTAGTAGAGACGGGGGTTTCACCATGTTAGCTAGGCTGGTCTTCAATTACTGACCTCAGGTGATCCACCTGCCTCAGCCTCCCAGAGTGTTGGGATTACAGGCATGAGCCACCGCGCCCAGCCAATTTTTGTATTTTTTGTAGAGATGAGATTTCGCTATGTTGCCTAGGCTGGTCTTGAACTCCTGAGCTCAAGCAAGACGCCCACCTTGGCCTCCCAAAGTGCTGGGATTACAGGTGTGAGCCCCGTGCCTAGCCCTTTCGAGTTTCTTCAAGTGAATTATAAAAAGGCACTGCCTTTGAGGGGAAACAGTCCTGTTAAGGCACGAGACTTTTCTCCTCTGACCCCTTGGTTGGCAGTTTTGTGCAGTGCACAGCCTTTACAACTCTACATGGTGGCCCTATTCTCACTGCAGGTAAAATAAAATCTTCTTATTGTGAGTCACAGCATCCTTTCGGATCACCAAACCTATACTCCGTCCTCCACTGCTACCCCTCATCCAGGAGTGACATAGGTAATCTCACCCTTCCTCTGTCTGCTGGGCACAGATCCCTCAGGAGGGCATGCAGTTCACAGTCTGGGCTCCTGCCCCTCTGCACCCCGCCCTCTGCGTCACCCCGATTACCTCTGTTGTAGCTGATCACCATGTAAATTTTACTGCCGTCAGAAGATCCAGTCTCCACCAGCAGCAGTACGGTCTGTTCGCCCGCAATGTATTCGGACCAAATTATGCTACAGGTGTTATCTGAGAGAGAAAAGGGCAGTCCAGGGCCACCCCAGGGCCCAGTAGCCTTGGTCCTGTGCTGGCTGTGACTCTTCACATAATGCTCAACCCTCTCTGAGACACTGCCCATTTTTTTTTTTTTTAGATGGAGTCTCGCTCTGTCGCCCAGGCTGGAGTACAGTGGTGTGATCTTGGCTCACTGAAACCTCCGTCTCCCGGGTCCATGTGATTCTTCTGCCTAAGCCTCCCGAGTAGCTGGGACTACAGGCGCCTGCCACCACACCCGGCTAATTTTTTTGTATTTTTAGTAGAGATGGGGTTTCACCGTGTTAACCAGGATGGTCTCGATCTCCTGACCTCGTGATCTGCTCCCCCGCCCCCTGGCCTCTCAAAGTGCTGGGGTTACTGCCCATTCTTTCCCATGACATCTGCCGCCCTCCCCTGCTGTTATGCACCCTTAGTCCCCCCAGCCTCCCGCCACAGACCCATTGGAGGGATGAGTACCTGCTATCTGCTGGCACACAGACCAGTGCTTGGGCAGCATCTCAAAGGATACCTGGCCATCTGCAGAGCAAGGTGGAACTCATGTTCAGGCCCTCTCCCTCCTGTCCGGCAGCCCATCAAGCCAATGCTGATTGTCCTCCTCATGCCTCTCAGCCCCTCAATCCTTGGGATCTCATTCCCTGGCCTTGTCTCACTCACACCTGGCCTATTAGAGCATGTCTGTCTCTAGTCATGGAAATTGGCTCAGGTCTGACCATGTGACCCACATAAGGTCAATCAGAGTTTACTCTGGGACTCGTGTTAGAATTAATTGGAAACGAGCTGTCTTCATTCTGTTGGCGTGACTCAGACTAGTAGCTGACTTGAGTCTCAAGTTTTTAGGGGCCACCTTTAACCTCCAATGGAGGAATAACTACCTGAAAATGGAGGCAAATTATAGGACCAATAATAATAAACCCTTTGTAACGCTCACCATAGCCCTAGTACTAAGACCTTTACAAAAAATTTAATCTTTATATCAACCCAGTGACCTAGATACTAGTACTACCATTAGCCACATTTTGTAGGTGAAGAAAACGAGATCAGAGAGGTCAAGTTACACATCCAAAGGCACACAGCAAGGGTGTGATGGAGCAGTCTCTCTCCAGAATCTGTGTTATAATTAATTACCATGCTCACTACATTACCAAGAGATGGAGTCCTGATGACTTACCCTGTGAGCCCCTGGATCCAGCCATACCTGAAGTTGAACCTGTCTTTTCATTTATATAAGTCATCAAATTCTTTGTGCTTAAGTTATTATCATTATGATTATTGAGACAGTCTCACTCTGTTGCCCAGGCTGGAATGCAGTGGCATGATCTCGGCTCACTATAACCTCTGCTTCCCAGTAGCTGGGACTACAGTGATTCTTGTGCCTCAGCTTCCCAAGTAGCTGGGACTACTGGTGCATGCCACCACACCCGGCTTATTTTTGTATTTTTAGTAGAGATGGGCTTTTGCCATGTTGGCCAGGCTGGTCTCGACCTCAGGTAATCCACCCACTTTGGCCTCCCAAAGTGCTGGAATTATAGGCATGAGCCACCATGCCCCGTTGTGCTTTAATTATCTTTGAATTGGGCTTCTGCCATTTTGTGTTTTTTGGGTTTTGTTGTTGTTGTTTGTTTCTGAGACAGTCTCACTCTGTTGCCTAGGCTGGAGTGCAGTGGCCTAATCTTGGCTCACTGCAACCTCCTCCTCCTGAGTTCAAGGGATTCTCCTGCCTCAGCCTCCCGAGTAGCTGGGACTACAGGCACGTGCCACCACACCCGGCTAATTTTTGTATTTTTAGTAGAGACAGGGTTTCACCATGTTGGCCAGGCTGGTGTCTAACTCCTGACCTCAGGTGAACCACCCACCTGCCTTAGCCTCCCAAACGGAGCTAACAAATCTGTTGGGATTACAGACCTGAGCCACTGCATCTGGCTCTTCTGCCCTTTAAAACCAAGTACATCATGAAAGATACATAACAGCCACCCAAGCCCTACCCCTACAAACACATCCCTCCACCACCACCACCACCACCGCCCTCAGCCTGGGGCCCTCCTGAGGGCACATGGTGAGGAGCGAGGGCCCAAGGTTAGGATCCTTGGAGGTAGGAGGGTATGGAGGGGTCCCTGGGGCTCCCAGAGGTCCCCACCCTTACCTGTGATGGTCCCGAAGTGTATAAAACCCTCATTCTTGCCCATGGTAAGGGCCATTACGTACTCAGAGCCATTGGCAGGGAAATGCGCAGGGCACAGCTTCTTGATGCACTCGCTGGCCAGGACACGAACCCAGCTGCCTAGGGAGGCCAGCATGGGGCTTCAGATCCAGGTGGCTGGGCCTGGGGCCTACGCCCCCCACCCACGTTTCCCTAGCTTTAGTGAGTCTGTTATCTGCCCTCTCGTGCTGAAGCACTTGTTCAGGGTGGTGTCAGGGGCACCTGGCAGGGGGCACCTGCTGCCTTTGAAAAAAATCCTCCTTGCTCACACTCTGTCCACGAGGGTCAGATTGGGCTGATCCCTCCCTTGCAGTCCCTTGGCCACAGCGATTAGCAGGTGATCAAGCTGGGCAAATCAGAGGCAATTCCAGCTTGCAATCAGTAACAAGGTGCTCTTTTCTGGGGCTTCCGAGGGGCATAAAAGTCTATAGTTGCTGGGCAGGGGCCAGAGTCACCATGCCAGGCACAAGGTGGTGACTGCTTAACCGTGACAGTGAGCTCCTGGGTGCAGCCATTCCTGAAACCAACATGCTCCTGGGCTTTTCAGCCATGGAAACCAATACACACCCCTTTTCTTTGGCTTAAGCCAACTTGAATTTGGTTCCTCCCACTGTCAAAGTGCCCCAAGTAAGAGAGAAAGCAAAACTGCTGGGAACATGCATTCACTCATGACATGTAAGTTACAGTCCAATTTCCGGTGACTCTGTAAGCTGACAGTTCTCACTAAGATTGGGGGGGAACTAGAAGAAATAGGAGAGCTTTGGTATCATTTAAAAGATGAAATTGAATCAACAGCCTCTCTTTTTCCTCTCTCTCTCTCTCTTTTTATTCAGACTCAGTCTTGCTCTGTCTCCCGGGCTGGAGTGTAGAGGCATGATCTTAGCTCACTGCAACCTATTTCCTGGGTTCAAGTGATTCTCCTTTCTCAGCCTCCTGAGTAGCCAGGATAACAGATGCTCACTACCACTTCCAGCTAATTTTTGTATTTTTAGTAGAGACGGGGTTTCACCATGTTGGTAAGGCTGATCTTGAACTCCTGACCTCAAGTGATCCATCTGCCCTGGCCTCCCAAAGTGCTGGGATTACAGGCGTGAGCAACTGCGCCCAGCCCCTTTGTTGTTGTTGTTGTTGTTGAGACAGAGTGTCATGCCGCACAGGCTGGAGTGCAGTGGCGCAATTTCGGCTCACTGCAACTGCCGCCGCCCAGGTTCAAGCAATTCTCTGCCTCAGCCTCCCGAATAGCTGGGATTACAGGTACCTGCCACCACACCTAACTAATTTTTAATTTTTAATAGAGACAGGGTTTCATAACCTTGGCCAGGCTGGTCTCGAACTCCTGACCTCATGATCCACCTGCCTCAGCCTCCTAAAGTGCTGGGACTACAGGCATGAACCACAATTTCTGGGTTTGTTCTTTTTTTTTTTTTTAAATAAAACAGAGTCTTGCTCTGTCGGCCAGGCTGGAGTGCAGTGGTGCGATCATAGCTCACTGCAGCTTCAAACACTTGGACTCATGCGATCCTCCCATCTCAGCCTCCTGAGCGGTCAGGCGTGAGCCACTGCAGCTAGACTCTCTTTCTCCTCTCAGATGAGCTTCCCTTGAGGTTTTTCTGTCTGTTTCTCTCTCCTGCTCTGACTTTCTGACTTCCCATGCCCCTTTCCCTCTGACTTTCTCTCTCCCAGTCTGATCTCTCTTAGCATGTCCTTCTGCCATCGTGTGTGTGCACACGACCCTCTGCGACCTCCCTTCACTCTCACACCCCCTCTTCTCACGGCTGGCTCACAATTTCCAGGAGGGTCTGAGTGGAAGCCTCATACTGGCAAAAAAAAGGGCAAGGGAAGGTCCATTTGGGGTAGGCAGGGGTGATTCAGGGCCTGGGCAATTTCTTTTTCCCCCACCCCACCCACGGCAATTCCCGTCCCAGGGGCCTTCAATGGACAGGTTCCCTCCCCAGGTGTGGGCCCCGCCACGGCCCGCTCACCACTGCCGCGGTTGCTCTCGTGAAGCGTGGTATAGGTGCCTGTAAAGTAGTAGACCAGCTGGTTCTGCCGAATGAAGAGGGTGCTCTCGGTGGCGATGGTGTCATAGATGGTGGCGGTGAAGCCAGAATGGGGGCAGTAGACGGAGCCCACCCAGCAACTGTCAATGCTGAGCTGCAGGGGAGCAGAGGCTAGTGGTGAGCAGGTGGCCTCAGCCTCAGCCCATGTCCTGCCTTTAGGGGAAGTCCCTGCTCTGACAGCTGCTTGGGAGAGACAGACAAAGCTTTCCTGGGGCACTCTCCCTGCTCACCCTGCAGCAGCGCCTTGGTAGCCAAACTTCCCCCATAAGGACCAGAGAAGCAGGTGACCCAGGCCTGAGCCAGTTCAGGCTTCGTGCGCCCCTGGAGTTGGGCAGTGCACAGCATGCTCAACGGCTCTCAGTGGTCCTCGTGCCCCTGGCTACATACAGTCAGTGTTATACCCACACAGATACAGCATCCCATGCTTGGCCCAAAGGACGTTGTTTTTTGTTTTGTTTTTGTTTTTGTTTTTTGAGACAGTCTCGCTCTGTCGCCCAGGCTAGAGTGCAGTGGTGCAATCTTGGCTCACTGCAACTTCTGCCTCCTGGGTTCAAGCGATTCTTCTGCCTCAGCCTTTCAAATAGCTGGGAGTACAGGTGCGAGCCACCACACCCAGCTAATTTTTGTATTGTTAGTAGAGACGGGGTTTATTGGCAAGGCTGGTCTCAAACTTCTGACCTCATGATCCGCCCGCCTCGTCCTCCCAAAGTGCTGGGATTACAGGCATGAGCCACCATGTCTGGTCTTCTTCTTGTAGTTTCTAAGTGTGGTGATTGGGTTTTCACCCTCATGTGAGATGTGCCTCCCTCAAACCTTGTTATAGTGTCGGCCCATTGCCTGCCTGACATGAAATAAAAACAAACTCAGTGTTTATTTCAGAGTGATGGAAATTTTTGGAAGTAGATAGTGGTGGTGGTTGCACAACATTGTGAATGAACTAGACGCCACTGATATTCACTTTAAAAGTGAACGTGGTGGCTCACACCTGTAATCCCAGCAGTTTGGGAGGCCAAGCTGGATGGATCACTTGAGGTCAGGAGTTCGAGACCAGCCTGGCCAATATGGTGAAACCCCATCTCTTAAAAATAAAAATAAAAATAAAAAAAAGTAGCCGGGCGCGGTGGCTCACGCTTGTAATCCCAGCACTTTGGGAGGCCGAGGCGGGTGGATCACGAGGTCAAGAGATCGAGACCATCCTGGTCAACATGGTGAAATCCCGTCTCTACTAAAAATACAAAAAATTAGCTGGGCATGGTGGCGCGTGCCTGTAATCCCAGCTACTCAGGAGGCTGAGGCAGGAGAATTGCCTGAACCCAGGAGGCGGAGGTTGCGGTGAGCCGAGATCACGCCATTGCACTCCAGCCTGGGTAACAAGAGCGAAACTCCGTCTCAAAATAATAAATAAATAAATAAATAAGTAAAAAAATAAATAAATAAAATAAAATGGTTAAATTTATGGCTTTCACCTCAATAAGTTAAAAAAAAAAAAAAAGGAACTAGAATTTGGATACCTGAATTCAAACTGAACTTGTTTTCATTCCTGTGAATATTAACACCTTCTCTATGGCCAGGCATGGTGGCTCATGTCTGTAATACCAACACTTTGGGAGACTGAGGTGGGCAGATCACTGGAGGTCAGGAGTTCGAAACCAGCCTGGCCAACATGGTGAAACCCCATCTCTACTAAAAATACAAAATTAGCAGAGTGTGGTGGTGCGTGCCTGTAATCCCAGCTACTTGGGAGGCTGAGGCAGCAGAATCGCTCGAACCCAGGAGGTGGAGACTGCAGTGAGCTGAGATCGTGCCATGGCACTCCAGCCTGGGCAACAGCAGCACAACTCCATCTCAAAAAAGAAGTAGTTTGTGAAAACTGGCCAGGCACAGTGATGCCAGCACTTTGGGAGGCCTAGATGGGAGGACTGCTTAAGGGCAGGAGTTTGAGACCAGCCCGGGCAACGTGAGACCCCATCTCTACAAGCAATTTTTTTTTTTTTTTTTTGAGGCAGATTTTCGCTCTTGTTACCCAGGTTGGAGTGCAATGGCGCGATCTCGGCTCACCGCAACCTCCGTCTCCTGGGTTCAGGCAATTCTCCTGCCTCAGCCTCCTGAGCTGGGATTACAGGCATGTGCCACCATGCCCAGCTAATTTTTTGTATTTTTAGTAGAGACGGGGTTTCACCATGTTGACCAGGATGGTCTCGATCTCTTGACCTCGTGATCCACCCGCCTCGGCCTCCCAAAGTGCTGGGATTACAGGCTTGAGCCACCGCGCCCGGCCCAGCAATTTTTTAAAATTAGCCAGGTGTAGTGGGACATGCCTGGAGTACCAGCTACTTGGGAGGCTGAGGCAGGAGGATCATTTAAGCCCAGGAGTTGGAGGCTGCCATGAGCTATGATGGCACCAGTGCCCTCCAGCCTCGGTGACAGAGCAAGAGCCTGTCTCCTGAAAAAAAAATAAAAAAGAAGAAGTTTGTGGAAATTGAATAACATCTGAATAGACTTGGCTCAGAACAGAGAAAGCTGGACAGACAGATGGTCCACAAACTGAACGAATTACACAGAAGCAGAGCCAGAGGCGGTCAGGAGAACACTAATCCACGTGGGATCCTCAGAAATTGCGAATAGGGCTTTCGATCTTTACAGCAGGAAGTTAAGGCAATCTTTTTTTTTTTTTTGAGACGGAGTCTTGCTCTACCACTCAGGCTGGAGTGCAGTGACATGATCTTGGCTCATTGCAACCTCTGCCTCCTAGGTTCAAGCGACTCCCCAGCCTCAGCCTCCCGAGTAGCTGGGATTACAGGCACCTGCCACCATGCCTGGATAATTTTTGTATTTTAGTAGAGACAGGGTTTCACCATGTTGCCCAGGCTGGTCTTGAACTCCTGACCTCAGGTCATCCGCCCACCTCAGCCTCCCACAGTGCTGGGATTACAGGTGTAAGCCCCTGTGCCCAGCTCTGGGTGCACTTCTTAAAGCCAGTTCTCTGGGTAAACCAACCTGGCTTAGCATTCTGCCTGCAGCTGCACTAATTCCATCATGCTTCTGTCAAGGAAGCCGAAAGATCCTTACTTCAGACACTCCCTCCCTATTCTGGGATAATATAGGCTCTCAATGCCTAATAGGAAAGCCTTGGGCAGAGACATATATTGTAATGCAGAATCTTCCAGAGTGTAGAAGGTAATGGTACAGATATACCATTGGTTATGGAAGCTATTAGCTTTTTTTTTTTCCTCTGAGACAGGGTCTTGATCTGTCTCCCAGGCTGGAGTGCAGTGGTGTGATCATAGCTCACTGCAGCCTCAAGGTCCCAGCCTCAAGCAATCCTCCTGCCTCAGCCTTCTGAGTAGCTGAGACTACAGGCTGATGCCACCACCCCCGGCTAATTTTTGGTAGAAAAGGGGTCTCACTATGTTTTCCAGGCTGGTCTTGAACTCCTGCACTCAAGCGATTCTCCTACCTGAGCCTCCTAAAGTGCTGGGATTATAGGCGTGAGCCACTGCACCCGGCCAGAAACTAACTATATCATCCTCACAACAATTCTATGAACAAATATAAACATTACTCCCATGTTACAAATAGGAATCTGAGGACCAGCCAGGTCGTTGAACTGCCAGGTCCAGGGTCAGGCAGCCAGGAGGTGGCAGAACCAGGATTTGAACCTAGGCCCTCTGGCTGTAGAATCTTGTGGTTTTTTTCTTCACGCTGTCTCCCTCTCATGGGGACTGGTGTGCCTTTGGGGACCTCTTCTAGAGCCCCGGGCCCCTACTCTATTTCAGGGGCTGAGGCCCCGCCCCCTCCAGGAGGCCCCGCCCACCACCTGCCCCACACCACTCACCTCCACTAACGAGTGTTCCTCGAAGCTGGTGTCAGTCATCAGGACATACTTCTCATTGGGAATGCCACCCAGGATAAGCACAGGTGCCTGGTCCACAGTGTACCACAGGGGCCTCGATGAGATACCCACAAAGTGCTCAGGTGTCAGGCTGTAGAGCTGCCAGGGAGGGACATCAATACTCTGGTCACTTGCCTGTGGCTCCATCACATGTAGGTCTAAGGCCTAATCTGGACCCACAAGACCCCACACGATTTGTCCTCCTCACTTCCCTGACCTCATTCCTTACCATTCTCGCCCTCGCTCGCTCTCTCCCGGCCACATGGCCTCTTCTCTGCTTCTCAGACCTCCCAGGCACATGCCCACCTCAGGGCCTCTGCGCTGTGTCCCTTGATGAAACGCTCTTGCCCTAGTATCCATGTGATTCTCTCCTTGGAGGCTTTACTCAGCCTTCTCAGCGAGGCCTTTCTTGACCATCCTATTAAACACTACACTCTCCCTCGGCACAGACCCAACTCCTGTCGCTCTGTTCTGTTTCTCCCCAGAGCACTTACCACCCTTTAACCTACTATGGAATTCACTTGATTTCCACGTTTACCAGTTTACCATCTGTCTCTCCCACTAGAGTGTCAGCTCCAGGAGGGCAGAGATTTGGGTCTGTGTGTTCACTGCTGTGTCCCCACGATGCAACAACATGTGCTCAGTAAGTGACTGCATGAATGAATGGATGAATGCATCATGATTAACAATATGGGTACAGGCCTGGCATGGTGGCTGGCGCCTGTCCTCCTAGCACTTTGGGAGGCTGAGGTGGGCGGATCACTTAAGTCCCAGAGTTTGAGACCAGCCTGGGCTACATGGTGAAACTCTGTCTCTACTAAAAATACAAAAACTGAAGTAAGAGGATCACCTGAGCCTGACAAGGTCAAGGCTGCGGTGAGCTGAGATCGTCCCATGGCACTCCAGCCTGGGTAACAGGGTGAGACCTCCTCTCTACAAAATATTAAAAAAAATTATTAGCTGGGCACAGTGTCGGGTACCTGTAACCCCAGCTACTTGGGAGGCTGAGGCAGAATTGCTTGAACCCGGGAGGCAGCGGTTGCGTGAGGCGAGATCATGTCACTGCACTCCAGCCTGGGCAACAGAGCAAGACTCTGTCTCAAAAATAAATCAATAAATAAATAATTTTAAAATTAGCTGGTTATGGTGGTACATGCCTGTGGTCCCAGCTGCTCGGGAGGCTGAGACAGGAGGATTGCTTGAGCCTGGGAGGTCAAGGCTGCAGTGAGCCATGATTGCACCACTACACTCCAGCCTGGATGACAGAGCAAGATCCTGTCTCAAAAAAAAAAAAAAAAAAAAAAAAAAAAAAAACAGAGAGCCATGATTGCACCACTACACTCCAGCCTGGATGACAGAGCAAGATCCTGTCTCAAAAAAAAAAAAAAAAAAAAAAAAAAAAATTCACACCTATAATGTCAGCACTTTGGAAGGCTGAGGTGGGTGAATCACTTGATGTCAGGAGTTTGAGACATCCTGGCATAACATATGGCCAACATAACAAAGCCTGGTCTCTACTAAAAATACAAAAATTAGCCAGGCATGGTGGCTCGTGCCTGTAATACCTGCTACTAGGGAGGCTGAGGCACAAGAATCACTTGAACCCGGAAAGTGGAGGCTGCAGTGAGCCAAGAGCCAAGATCACGCCCCTGCACTCCAGCCTGAGCAACAGAGTAAGACCGTGTCTAAAAAAACAAACACATGAGTCAGGCAGATAGCTTCAAGTCTCCTTCCATGCTAAGAGACTATGGGAAAATGGTTCTATCCCTTTGGGACCTCAGTTTTCTCCTCTTGTTTACAATGGAGTATGTGAGAGTACGTCCCCTCGAAGGGTCACTGGGGAGGAGGTTACTGGGACCTTCACCCGGGGCCTGGCATGAAGTTGGATCTGCCACTTGTCTGGGAAGTAACCAGGGCATCAGCCCAAGACCCAGCCCATTGTTTTCCCCTGTGCAGACCCCCTCACCTCCTCCCCCACAGCGTACACGATGTCATCATCTTCGTCTAGCTTCAGGAAGCCGTTGATGTTCACATGGAAGCTAGTAGCAGGTGCATGACAGGCACAGGTGAGGCTCCAGTGTCAGGAGCTCCCCAGCTTATGGCTGCCTCTCCTCTCCCCAGTCTCTGTCTTTGGTCTCCCACTGGCTCCTCTGGGGATCCTGGGGTGAAGAATTCCCCCGGAGTCCACCCCAGCCCCAGTCTTGGGAAAGGGTACCCTTTATCTTGAATGAAGGTCCCCAGGCCATTGCTGCTGATGTCCACGTGCATGATCACGCTGCCATTCTTGATGGGCATGGGTGTGTACCAGCTCATGCTACACACTTCCTCTGCCATGCATTCCTCTGAAACTGAAACTGCTGGGGCCTCTCAATGGCCAGTTCCAGGCCCCAGACCACACTGGGATCTCCCCACAACTCCCATATCCACCTCCATGCCATGGGTCCCACTGGGGTCTCTGTGTGGCCCCATCTAGGCCATGGAACGTGCTAAGCAACCTTCCATACCCTCGTCAGATCATGGCCCCAGGTAGGTCCCCAGCAACCCCCACACCCCTGCCAGGCTGCGATCCCCTCCCACCTTCCCAGGCCCACCTTTGCTGCGGAAGGGGGCAGCCTCCATCTGGATCTGCAGCTGCTCTATCTTCCAGCGGTAAAAATTGACTGGGGACTGGAAGGTGACCAGCACCAGGGGCTTTAGCCCCGTCAGGTGGCCCATGCGCACCAGGTCCTGAGAGAGCTGAGGGCGAGATGGCCCCACAAGTGTGTCCTTATGGTGGCCTGTGCGTCCCCTTGCCTTGAGTCCACCTTGAGCAGCCTGTCTCTCAGGCTGGCCAGGGCAGCACACTGTCCACCCTGTGATGGTCAGAAGGTGTGGTCTAGGTCTGGGGCTTGGATGGGGGATGGGCCAGCATAGGAGAGGGGCAGAGAGGTAAGGGGCTATGGAGGGAGTTGGAGGCCTTCCTGGAGGAGGTGACACCAGAGCCAGTGTCTGCAGACAGAATGTGCATGTATGGAATACACAGGGAAGGGTAGCATGGGATGAGCAAAACTGTGCAGTGGGGAGGGATGCTGGGAAGGGGGAGGGGTGCTGGGAAGGGGAAGGGTGCTGGAAAGGGGG